CTTTTTAAGTGGGAGAACTTGCACAATTGGTGACTGACTAAATACTTTTTTGCCCCACTGTAGATGGAGTCAACACAGGTGCAAACCCAGCCATTGTGACTTGTTTAATAAACCATGGCTTGGTTCATACATGCTAACCAAGCCAAAACCAATATGCCTAAGCAAGATATGTCAAACCAGCTTCTGTCTATGTTCTCCTGTAAGACTAATTTTCTATGATCTTGTTTAAAGGCAGCAGTGTTCAGAAAGGTGGGGGGAGGTAAAGCAAGATGAAGGAAGTGCTGTTGTGATCCAAGACACACCTCCTTTGTATATGCATTGCTTTGATCACAACAATGCTTCCACCATCTTATCCTCCTCTCTCTCACACACCTGCTGTGGACACCTCTGCTTGATAGCTTGGTGTTTTAGTACTGTTAGGATTCATTCATTCTGTCTGCCAGTCGTGTACTTATTATGACAGAAGGAGGGAAAACATATTTTGTATCAACCTTGGAAAAAGGAGGAAAGAGCTTGGGATATTTATAGAGAATGACTTTGAAGAACAATGCACCAAAGGATTACCTTGTTTTCCTCAGGAGTGAAGAGAATGCGGAATGTTGATGGCATGCCGGGTGCAACTTTGTTGCACACATCATTGGGGCTGATGACTCGGAAGTAAGGTGAACTCTCCAAAACAACTTTCACGAGCCGTGGGATCTACAGGTGTTAAGGAAGACATTCAATGGGAAGAATCACTCAAGACCACAAGAAAATGGTGGGGCCTCTGTTTAAAAAATATTCTTCACTTTGGACACAACAATCTTGGCAGACTGATCCCAGGGCCATGATAGAGCTATAATCCCATGCCCTTCCAGCAGCAAAGACAAAAGCAGAAAAAGAACTGTGGGAAGAAGTCCTACTGTGCAATGCTGATATATGTCAGCCCTTCAAGGCAGACCAGATTTGAACACCAAAATCATGAATACTACAACTACTTTTATTATAAGCTTACAGTATCAGAATCTTGCAAGTATGAATGTGCTTCCCCCTCCCTCCCTCCCTCCCTCCCTTTATCTTCGTGAGAACTAGAGAGGGTCACGTCTAAGACGCTTTTTCAAATTACGTTTCTGCCTCAGACTCAAATTTCTTTTGTCTGACAGCTGTCTTAGTTGTGCTCTTCCTCCTGTTCCTTAAAGTTATTCTCACAGCCCATTACACATATGAGCTAACTGATAAGCAGACTGGGAGAGCAAACAGGGAAACTTTTTTTTTTTTTTTTTTAAACAGAGGAACATGAAGGCAGAAGGAATTGCTCTCATTAACCATTAAGGGATGCACCACATTTGTTCTCCTCCTGGAAGGCAAGAACTATATATTGTATGCTATTAATGCAAACTGATTGCCCTTCTGGAAGAAAAGGTGAAACCAAATGATATGAGGAATAGTTACAGGATCTGAGTATGTTTAGCCTATAGGAAAAATTACTGAAGGGAGATAGGATAGCAGTCTACAAACATCTGAAGGTTGCCATAAAGATGAGGGAGTGGACTTACTCTCTATTGCTCCAGAGGGCTAGACCTGAACCTATGGATTGACATTGCAAGGAAGGAGGTTGAGGCTAAACTTCAGAAGAAATTTCCTGACCACAGGAGTTGTCAGCTAATAGACTGTGCTGCAACATGAGATGGTGGGTTCTCCTTTACTGAAGATCTTCAAACAGAGTCAACCGTTAAAGATGCTCTAGTGGATACTGAACTCAGCAGGGAATTAGACTTAGATCCTCTAAGATCCCTTCCAGTTCTATGATTTTACAGTTCTAGACAACAGGAGGATTTTGCCAAGCTGGAATAGTGAGCCGCAAACAGCAAGACATTTTAACAGAGACAAATGCAAAGTCTTATATTTACATAGGAAAAATCAAGCATGAGCATAGGACAGGAGAATCGTATTAGGCAACAATATGTGCAAAAAGGATCTGAGTGTCTTGATAGATCACTAAACAAATATAAGACAACAGTGTGATGCAATTGCAAAAAATGTAGTGCTATAATATCAGATCAAGAGAAGATCTCGTTCCTCTCTATTCTGTGTTGGCAAGACTGAATATTATATCCAGTTCTGAGTATTGCGTTTTAGGAAAAATTCTGACACAGATCCAGGGAACAGCAACCAACATATAAGTTCCTGCAATTCAGCAGTAAAGAGAGTGGCTAGTGGCATTTAAAGCATTAAAACCCCTCTTAAGTCAACACATAGCAAACAGACATCTCTAAAAAGCCACACTTTAGCAAGAAAAAATGTCAAGGCTAAATGGGAATAGAAGGATAGTCCATTTTATTTATTGTCACACTATGACCCTGATGCCACTGGATCAATGGAGGGATAGTGTCTCCAGTTCTTTCACCATCTTGGTAGCTCTTCTCTGGACTTGCTCCAGCTTATCAATGTCTTTTTTATACTGAAGTGTGCAAAATTGAATGCAAAGTCCAAGTGACGCCTGACCAAGGCAGAGTTGAGTGGAATAATTACTTCCTGAAATTTGGACTCTATGCTCCTCTTGATGCTCCTCAATATGTTATTGCCCTTGCTGTTCTTGAGACTTCCAGGTGAGGAATGGTGAGCTAGCACATCTCCAAATGAATGGAGACAATGTTGCGGCCACAACCAAAGGACCAGTGAATAGACTGGTCCCACAGAACCTCTCTGGTTAAAGAGAAGATGGGAGATCACCCCTTGTGCTCCAGACAGCTGCTCCTCATGAGGAGACTGTAGGATAGAGGTTTCCCACAGGTTTGAACACTGAGAGACAAAGGGAAGCCATCACACTCTCAACCACGGCAGAGCATTTTTAAGAATACTGAATTTGCTAACTTTACTTTCTAATCACTTTCGAAAACTGCCTGTTTGACTATTTTAAGGCTAATAGAGATCTTCAAAACGACAAGTCTGCAAAGCTACCTGGTGAGTTTACCTTCATTCCAAAAAAAAAAGAAAAAGAAAAATTAACTATAGACTTAAGAATTTAAAGAATTTGAAATAAATAGCAAAAAATTAAATAAGAAAGTTATAAACAAATTAAGGGACCAGGTTAATTTGAAATATTAGGACTTTTAATATAAGAATTTGGAAATAGTTATATAAATAAACAAATTCAAGAAAGTTATAAACAAATTAAGGGACCAGATTAATTTGAAATATTAGGACTTTTAATATAAGAATTTGGAAATAATTATATAAATAAACAGCACCCTCATGGGAATTAAATTGTTTAGTCTATCTTAAGTCATAACAGAAATTCAAGACTTTATGATTTCAGAAATTGGACACTAGAGGGAACTAATGATTCCAGGCAGAAAAGAGAAAAAAAAAAAAAAAGAGAGAGAGAGAAAGAGACAGGCTTGCCTTTTGTCTTTGGTCAGCATTGGGACAAAATGATAGAAAACAGTATGGCATTTGAAATACTCCAGGAGATATTTGAAGAAAGAGGACAGAAACTAGCAGCTACAATGTCAGCAATGATGTCTGCTTCTATGGATAGACTGTCCAAAAGATGTTAAAGAACAAATGACAGGTGTGAAAGAGAATACAGGATAAAGAGCTGAAACAAATCTCACCCGATGCAGAAATATTAGAATATAAAGAAATCGTTGAAATACTGGAATATTTTTAAAAATGTGGATTATAAGACAGAGATGACAGTTAAAGTGGAAATACAAACAATAAGCCAAGAGAATGACCTGGATAATGACTTCTTACTGGATTTACAAAAGATGTTTGCTAAAGTCTCAAAGAAGCCTTTGACATGGGGGGAAAAAAAACTGAAGAGAGAACAAATCCTACGGTAACATGTGAATGAATTAAAGATCAAGATTGCTAGAAGCAAAAGGAAGGAGTACAAAGTTGGTTTGTTTGACCAAAGTTAAAATAAGACATGTTTCTATAAAATTCTGGGAACCCTTTTTGCTGACAGCAGGACTGAAATGTTAATGATTTATGGATTTGCGTATGGATAAGGGATGGGCTATGGGAAGAAGAGACACTTGCATGTACCTTAAGGGGATGAAGCAAGGCCATGAAAAGAATCAATGTGGCCAGGATGAAGAACGCCACACAACTTCAGCACTGGCTGAAGACTTAGAAACCAAGCTTACTGACCTACATCTTGCTGGCACTGCTGAGGATGACTGGGAACGCTTCAGGGATGCTGTCCATTCATCTGCACTGAAGATACTAGGGCCCTCTACTCACAGCAGCATGACTAGCTCGATGAGAATGATGAGGAGATATGGGCTTTAGTCATTGAAAAGTGTCCAACAGAATGACTTATCAGCTGCCAAGAAAAATACCTTTACCAGTGCTCACAGGACAGTCCAGAATAAACTGTGTAAAATGCAAGATGCTTGGCTGAGCACCAAGGCAGATGAAATACAGAGATATGCTGATAGGAACAACTTGAAATGGTTATATGAAACCCTTAACACTCTCTCTGGATCTCGGTCTCTCGGGAGTTCCTCCCTCCTGAATACAGATGGTACAACTCCCATTACAATGAAGGCTCAGATCCTGCAGAGATGGGCTGAACACTCTGAAGCTGTCCTCAACTGACCATCATCTATTAACAATGAGGTGATAGACAGGATTCCTCAGGTCAACATCAATAGCACCATGGATCCACCAGTAGTAGCTGAAGTCATGAAAGCTATCAGCCAGTTATCCAGTGGCAAAGCCCCAGGGGCAGACGCCATATCTGCGGAGATCTACAAAGTCAGTTGTCCTGTATTTATAGAGAAACTCATCAAGTTATTCCCCTCTTTTTGGAAGCAAGGATCCATTCCTCAAGAACTTAAAGATGCATCCATCATGCACCTCTACAAGAGGAAGGGTAATTGACAAGTATGAGACAACCACCGAGGAATCTCACTGCTCTCCTTCACAGGAAAAATCCTTGCAAGAGTTCTGCTAAATCATCTGGTCACTCATCTGGGGCTGGGCCTGTTGCCAGAGTCACAGTGTGGCTTCCATAAAGGTTGTGGGACTATTGACATGATTTTTGCCACACACCAACTTCAGAAGTGTCAAGAGCAAAATTGTGAACTCTATACAACCTTTCACGAAAGCCTTCAATACAGTCAGGCAACAAGGCTTGTGGAGAACCATGTCAAAGTTTGGCTGCCCCACTAAATTCATTCAACTGGTATGCCAGTTTCATACTGGCATGATGGCCAGAGTGCTGGATGGTGGAGAATCCTCTAAGGCATTCCGAGTGACCAATGGTGTTTAACAGGGCTGTGTGCTGGAACCCACACTGTTCAGCATGATGTTTTCTGCCATGCTGAATGATGCCTTTCAGGACAGTGATGCTGGAATCAGTCTCAAGTACAGATTGGATGGGAAGCTCTTCAATTTGAGGAGACTTCAAGCTATTACCAAGGTGAAAGATGCAGATGACTGTGCCTGAATGCTGGCTCAGAGCATGTCAGTATGGATAAATTCTCCACAGCTTGTGACAACTTTGGACTCACCACCAATATTAAAAAAACTGAAGTTATGCACCAGCCTGCGCCTCATGCACCATATACAGAACCCAAAATCACAATTAAAGGGCAGAAACTACAGGCAGTGGACCAGTACAGTTACCTTGGCAGCACCCTCTCTCAAGCACTGATACAGAGGTTAACTGCAGAATAGTAAAGGCAAGTTCTGCTTTTGGTAGACTGCACTCCACTGTGTGGGAATGTTGAAGAATTAGTCCAGCAACAAAACTGAAGATCTACAAAGCCATGGTACTCAGTACCCTTCTGTACGATTGGGAAACACGGACTGTATATCAAAGGCATGCAAGACAGCTCAACCATTTCCAGATGACTTGTCTTTGCAGAATATTAGGCATCAGAAGCTAGATAAAGTACCAGACACTGAATTTGTCTCTAGAGCATGTCTACCATCTGTTCACACATTGTTGATGAGAGCAGAGACCCGGTGGGCAGGTCATGTCATCTGTATGCAGGACAAACACATATCCCAGCAGCTCCTTTTTGGGGAACTCTCTGCTAGAAAACGCTTGCATGGAGGGCAGAAGGAATGCTACAAAGACACATTAAAGGCCTTCCTGAAATCACTTGACATAGACACAGCCAATTGGGAAATGCTAGCACAAAACTGCCCTATCTGGTGTGGCCTCATCCACAAGGGCTGTCAAGCCTATGAAGTAAGACACACTGCTGAAGCACAACATAAGCGCGAGCTGTGCAAGTCTAGAGCCAGCAGTGTAACAACTGCAGTGCCTACACGTTTGCCCAACGTATGTCAGGACATTCTGTGCCCAAATTGGCCTGACCAGTTATCTTTGGACACACCACATTCATTTTTAATGTGACTAATGGTGTTGAGGTCTTCACTGACAATGATGGATGAACAACAATAAATCCATGTTGGTTCCTGTTAATTAATTAATTCCTATCCAAATACTCACAGGAATGCTGTTTGATTATATGTTCAAAGTACCTGATGTCAGACTCACAGGCCTGTAGCTCCCTGGGTCCTGCTTCTTTCCCTTTCTGAAAATAGGAACATTAGCCCTCCTCCAGTCTTCTGGGACCTCACCTGTTCTCCAGGCTTCTCAAAGATTATAGAGAGTGGTTCTGGAGTTACCTCTGCTAAGCCCTTCAATACCCTAGGGTGTAATTCATCTGGCCCTAGAGGCCATAACTCATTTAGATTAGCTGTGAACAATTTCTAATCTTCTGATCTTTCTCACTGCACTTCTCTGAACTTATTCTAATATGCCTGAATCCTCCTTAGCTGGTGCACTGAACTGGACACAATACTCAAAGGGAATGGGTCTGATCAAAGCAAAATACGTGGAATCATTACTTCCCATTATTTGGAAATCATGTTAATACTTCTGTTAATACTGCCTAATGCTATATTTGCCTTTTTTGCAGCAAAAACACACCGATGATTCATATTCAGTTTGCAATTAAATGTTACTCCAACATCTTTTTCTTAGACGTTTTTGGAGTTGCATTTCAATACAAGCATTGTTCAGGAATGCTACATTAAGGCTTTTCTTTATCCTATTCACTCTGCACAGATTGTACAACGAAGCTCCAAAAGGAGCAACTTGACCAAAATTGGAAACAAAAAGGCCTCTAAGGTGTAAGGTTTACTCCCTTTTAGTATAGTTTCAGAAAAAAAGATAAAAGAGTTGCAGATGAGATGGATGTATTTTCCAAGAAATCCAGAAATGTATTAGAATACAAAATAATTACAAATTAATCTCAACATATTGTGCAATTCCTTTGCTTAGCTGAGAAAAAAATGATGGGAAATATAACAAGGGCCACAATGAATTTGCACTGCATTTTATTGATTTAAAACAAGCTGCACAAGAGGACTACAAGCCCTTAAATAACACCTTACTACAGAAACTGGAAGGAAACTAAATTGCAGGGAAGGAAAGCTATTTTGGACTGTTTGTGGCTAAAAATATAAAGGATGCATAAGCCATATAATCTAATTATGATTGTTCAGCTGAGCAAAGAATATATAACTGTACTAGCTCAGCTATTCTGATGAAAATGCATCGCTAACAGAATGTCTGAACATCTTTGGATCGCAAGAGTAAATTCTGGCAGCTGAAATTTTAAAATAAACAACAATAACATGGAATTACACTTCACTCTCCATCCTTAACTAGTTCATTTAAATCCTACTTTTGTTCCGGAGTAGAACACTGGCAGTACAGAAGTTGGCTTCATGTTGTACCTTCTGCCCATGCAATGTCAAAACAGTAAACAGAAAGAAAAGCTAAAATAGTTCTGCTTGAATTTTTAAGAGTGAAGTCTTCAAAGAACGTGTTAAGCCTTAAATCTTCATCAAAACTGGAAATCTTTCAGTTCATAGTATTAACAAAAATACAATAAAGAGATATTGTTATAGTTCATCGTGAAATCGGTTGCATTAAAGCAGACATTTCTCTTGAAAGAGTTTGTTGGGGGCCTTATCATTCAGTAAGAAAAGCTCTTATAACTCTTTGAAAGTGCAGCACAAAACCTAAGCGAGCTTTCTTTCCACGACCCCTTTCCACCAAACCATGTCCCAAGTCTACTGATGAACTCTACCTTGTCATTGTTCCTCAGAATCAGTGGTACTTCGTAGAGCTCACAAGGGGCATAGTTCTGAAAAATCACTTCCGATGGGAATGGTTGAAACAGAGTCCGGTCCAGATCAACTGAGGAGAACTGAAGATGCAGAGGCACATATGGAAATACTGGAGTTGGATAAAGCAGCTACATTGCATCTATAACCACTAGATCTCCATTAAAACATCAGCTAAAGAGCAGCTAATATTTTAAATAAGAACCATTAATTAGAACCAAAGTAATATACTTGACCGAAATGTGAAGTCAGCTTAAAAATCGGTCACTGTCAACAACTTGGGTTATTTATGGATGCCTTTGTAAATGAAATTAATGCTGGTGGATCTCTCAGCAATGTGCAGGCTCTTGTCACAAGGCTGTCTGGCGAGGCTCTGGTGCTTTTAAGTGCCATTGCAGATGCAAATATTCACCAGAAAGCTTTTTTTTTCCTAGGAAAGCTTTGACTACTATATAGCACAGTCCTGCTATTGTTTGCAGTGTTTGCTATTTTAATATCTGTAGGAAAAATCCTGCCAGCCTTTTGCTTTGGAGCTTCACTGATGAGCTTGTACTTTGCCATGACCAAGGAAGAATAGATGGATAAGTCAGGGCTCCTTCCTGGCTGCTGAGAGTTGGATACAGTAACTAAGGTGAAAACTATTATTTTATAGGCCACATGTTGGCTGCAACGTGGACTGGCCTTTCAATTAAATATGGTAAGGCAACTCAGCTCCAGGAAGAAAGGGCTTGATGCTCCATTAAAAGAGAACGGTCACTGATTTTATGACAGTGAACTCTTCATTTAACAGACTAAAGAGGAGTGTCCTTTCAAGCAGAATATCTGTTAAATCAGAATGGATTTTACACATTATTTATTTTGGATATTATACTAATGTTAGGCATTTTATTTATGCATAAAGTGGCAGACAGGAATACACCCAAGCACGTAACATGTAACATACTTTTTTCAGAGGCATCTAAAATCTGCTAATAATAAATTTGTATCACGTGGGGTAGAGTGAAAAGCAGCACAGTTTGGATGTTCTCCCTTGGGTAGCAGGTACATGCAAAGAATAAACAAACCCTAACCATGCAAGTTTGAGGAAACGTCCCTGATCATTTAAAGGTGCACATTTCCCATTCCCACTTCCAGGATGCCATATCAGATTTTGCCACATCTGCCTCGGAATTTCTCAAACAATTGTTCCCCTTCATATTACCTTTGCCATCTCTTCTGCTTTTTAATATATATAAAATAATACAAATATTTCTCTCTTATCTTTTGAGAAAATCCTGCACCTGGTCAAGATCTTTTTTGTAAAGAAAATGATTTTTGAAATTCTAATTTTCTTTCAACGTATCCCTTGCGTTGACAATGCCAAGCAAAAACCCTTTCATGCCTGTACGTAGAAAGCAGCCCCACAGGTGGTGTACTAAAGGGAAAGAAAATACTTACTTTCTGGTGTGAGGTTTCACTCATGTCCAAAAGCTGGACAATGCGAGGCAAACGCATTTCATGGGTGTTTGCCAGTCTTTGTTCCGTTGTGAGAGACATCTCTTTCAGGAAAGCAGATGGTGTTAGCTGTAACGAGAAACAAACCTGCATCAAGATCTTCATGAAGAACAGCTTTTCCTTTTCCGTTGTGGTTGTAAGTTGAGGACTACCAGTACTTCATATCTTGTTCTATTTACATCATCATCCTGACACTCATCAGTTTGTCCTCAGTGAATTGGGTGCTGGACTTGAAAAATGCAAGTTCAGTCAGGTGGGTTTGAACGTTCAAGCTCAGACCTCCCCTGCTTTGGAGTTGTATTTTTGGTCAAGCTTTTTGCTTATCTTTCCAGTTTGCCTAGTGGGAAATGAGTGTTTTCAGACTATCAGACCAACCTTTGCAATGATTTGATAGGAAACCATCAAGAAATCCCAAGGTTGGTGACTAGACCAACCTTCTTCACCCAGGCCTTCAGTGAGGGAGAGGGAGATCCTTCACTTCATCATACTTGCCATCTTTTATCTTTATTTTTATGTTTTATTGATTTCATTGTAATTTGTTTGCTGTGAGTCGCCCAGAGCCATTGGGAGTCTGGTGGCATGCAAGTTTAATAAATTATTACTGTTGTTGCTAGTGGTGATGGTGTTGTACTGGGAAGTCAGAAAACATCCAAGCTGAAGGCAGAAGCAAACCACTTCAGCACTGTTGTCAAGAAAAGAACACAGTTGAGGTCATATAGTCACCAGCTGTCAAGGTCAACCCAAGGAAGTTTTCCTTCATCCCATGACACATTTTTAAATATCCACATATGCTCATCAATCCCAAAAGGTTGTGGCCCCTAAAAAGGAACATACTGGAGCATCCTTCTTTTCTTCTCTAACCAGCTTTGCATTGCGAGGTGCAACCACTTTGCTTTGAAATCCTTCTGGTAACTTCAAGGGATCCAGAGATTTCTGGGCTCGATCTGTTAACATCTTTGTCAGCCTCTGAAAGAAGAATAAGCTTTTTTAAAGCAGGGGGCTGAGAGGGGAAATTATCTGAAATTCACAGTATTATTTGGACTTCATCCATATAACCAAAAATAACTGCCAATTACTATTCTTAGAAATAGATCCTGAAGGGGAAAGGAGTAAAAAAAAGCTATCTTAAGGTATGATTTCTATCTTGCAACTATTTTTTTTCCCTGTAAACTCGGGCTCTGTGTTTCAGCAACAATAGAACAGTCATTATCTCTTTCCACTTCTTCCTTTGTGTTAGGCAGGACGGTTGGTTCTGGCAGAGAACCTCTCCTTCTTCAGGCTGAGGCAGCCTGGCATATCACAAAAGGTACTTTACAGAGCATTTCAGACACAGCTCCACATTTGTGAACACCGCAGGATTTCAGTAAAGCTATTGGTGGAATCTGCGGTCCAATTCAGTGTCCAGTGAAGCTGTAACATGTTCCAATCAATATGATTTTCTTCAAGCATGAAACGGGAATATTTGCACGGAGCATTTCTTTGTGGAGAGCTTGGACTACCTATGAAATCCCCCCGCTCAAAAGTCTCTTTATAAATCTTTACAAACTAGAACTCCAGACGGAGAGTAAGTTCTAAACCACCAGACTCGTTTACAGTAAATCTGCACTCCGAAAGCAGAGAAAGGGGTCGGTGGGTGGCCCGCAGCTGGCCGAGCCAGCGGGGCCGAGCCTTCCCAGGGCCGCCCAGCGCTTCGGGCTGCCCTTCCCGCAGGTCGAGGGGCTCAACGCCCCTCTGCTTTGATCCCGCTAGGCGAGGGGGGCAGAGGAGGACTC